TTGCAAAAATAGAACATAAAGTTTCAATATGTCCCTTGCTTAGCTTCTTCCAGCATTCACATCTTAAACAACCATGGCATTACCATAACCAGAAAATTTACATTGTCATAACAGCATTAACCAAATTAACTGTCTCATTCATGTTGGGAACAGGCCCTCAAAGCTGGCCATAAACTGGCCCCAAAATTGGCCATAAACAAAATCTCTGCAGCACTGTGACATGTTCGTGATGGCCATGACGCCCACCCTGGAAGGTTGCCAGTTTACCAGAATGAGGGCAAGGAACACCTGGCCCACCTAGGGTGGAAAACTGCTTAAGGTGTTCTTAAACCACAAACAATAGCATCAGCGATCTGCGCCTTAAGGAAATGTTCCTGCTGCAGATAACTAGCCAGATCCATCCCTTTATTTCAGCCCATCCCTTTGTTTCCCATAAGGAATACTTTTAGTTAATCTATAATCTATAGAAACAATGCTTATCACTGACTTGCTGTTAATAAACATGTGGGTAAATCTCTGTTCAAGGCTCTCAGCTCTGAAGGCTGTGAGACCCCTGATTTCCCACTCCACACACTATATTTCTGTTTGCGTGTCTTTAATTCCTCTAGCACCACTGGGTTAGGGTCTCCATGACCGAGCTGGTCTCGGCACCTTCAAACATCACCATTTTTTCCACTAATGTTCTTTTAAGAGTCTCAATAAAGATCCCATATTGCATTTATTTATTTTCCCCTGGATTTCTACAATCTGCAGCAGTTCCTCAGCCTTTCCTTATTTTTCATGACCCTGATAGCCCTAAAGAGTATTGATTAGTTATCTTGCTGAATGTCCATCAATTTGTGCCTTGTACATTCTCAGTATTAGACTAGGGGTCTTACATCCTTGAAAAGAGAATCATGGAAATGGTGCCATGTCTTTCTCAGTGCTCCATATTACAGCGTTCATGATGTCAATGTGTCTTATTACTGGTGATATTGACCTTGTTCTTCTCATCTATGTGGTCTCTCCTGGAAATTTCAACTGTAAAACTATAATTATTTTTTCTATAGTGACCAAATATCTCAGGAGAAATACTTTGAGGCTATACAAATATCTTCTCCCCCAAAACCCTTGCCCACTTATTCTAGCACCCTTCAATGGATCACATATGCAATCATCACCACTGTGATATCTGCCTAGTGATAATTTCTATTTCCTTCTTCCTTTATGCATTTATTAATTGCAATTTCACTACAAGGAAAAGCTGTCATATCTCTTCCATATACTTATTTAATTAATTATTTATTTATCATCATCATTGTTTTATAAATATTTATATTATTCTTTGGGTTATTATCTGACACTGTCATTAGTTATTTTGTTGCTCAAAGCTTTGGCCATTAGGAGCTCCTTCAGATTGACTTCTGTGCTCTTTCAACAACTTCCTCCCATATTTTTTGAGAACTTTCACTTTTCTGGTACCATAAGATGTTTCAAGCTCCTTTTGATTTCCTCTACCCCTGCCCTGGAATGAATCACTTTTCCAAGGATCCCTGATTCTTTAATAGAGGCATGGTGCTTAGAAACCAACATCTGGGCACCAGGTATGCTAATTACTACAGAAGCATTATTGCTTCTAGGCTTCTCAGCAGACAGGACTAGTAAATATTTGTGTATTAGCCTATGTGCACACATATCTATTTTTATATACCTGTGTACGTATATGCATAATGAGTTCATACTGACACCTCAAATTCCAATTCAACATCACAAGGATCATTTTAGTTTTTTTCCTTTCTTTATTTGTAATTGCCTTCTACAGCAGTAAGGCACCCAGTTTTTATTATCTACTACATATTTACTTATTTGTTCAATTCTAGTACACACAAATTCGTTTCAGGATGTCTTACCCCAATACCCCCATAAAAAAGCATTTACTGACTAGATAACAGCATTTGTGCACAATTCTTTTCGTCTATATTCTTACAGTATTCAGTCAACTTCCCATTTTCCAAAGTTATTTAGGTTAGTTCTTTTCCCTCCTGCATTCAGTATGGTTATGTTTTTCACTTTTATTACAGGTATTTTCATTTGTTAGTGTTGGGATGACATATTGGATTTCCTCCACATTCTAATTGGGTTTCACTCTTTGTTTATTAATGGCAGTATTTCTTAAGAAAGTATTTCTTTCTATTTATTAATTCCTTAAGAACAGGCATTATCATATATACAGTATATTGCTTCATAATATTAGCTGGTCATGACTGTAAGAATGTGCCTGAAATATGTATGTTGATATTTAAATTGGAAAAAATCTATGTCTGTCTTGTGCATTGTGGGGTGCTTTGCTTATTCAGGCAAGCGCCTCATACTTATTCACTTTTTTCTACATACTAGTTCAAATACAGCAGCTGAAATGTTTCAAATGTTTGCACATACCAGGGCTTAATCTGATCATATGCAATGGATTTAATACTTGAAAACAAGAAATTTAATGCCTCCATATGGCCATTAAAACCAGCTGAGGCACTACTATTTGTCATGATGTTGATGATGAGCCCTTTACTGCTTGTGTCTTTTTTATTATTGTTGCCAAGTAACTGAACAACTCATGCAGCATTGCTAAGGATAAGACCTTTCCCTATTAAGAAGAAAAAGATGACAACCTGCTGTGTGAACAATAGGGAAACTATCCTTATCATTCTTGGCACAAACGCTTCATCACTAAGGGTGTATCTTTACAAAAAAACTCTTTGAAATTTTTCTGTAAATATTCTGTTCCTGTCCACTGACATGAAATTTTTAAAGAAAAAAAAATATGCTAACTCACAGAAAAAAAAATGGAGATAAAATCCAGAAAATGTATTATACATCTGTCTTTATCAAATAGTTGGTATCTAAAGGCTCCACATTAGGAGAGATGGAAGCAGTTATTACTACCACATGGCATCTTGCCCTACTTAATTCCAACAGAAGAAGCCTCCTCCGACTGTGTTGTAGAGAAGATGAAGAATCTCAAGTCAGATCAAAGGCCAAGTTGTGATTACGGTGAAAAGAAGAGAGGAGGATCGCATATTCTTTTTCAGCTATCTATCCTTTTAAGACATAATGTCCCATTTGAAATATTTGCTGCATGAATGTGAAAAAAGTATCAGATGGTAAAATAATAGCGGTAGCTCAAATCTATGAAAAATGGAGGTTCATGAAAGCACAGATACTAAGCTCTTTCAAAACACGTCTTCTTAGTATTCCACAGTGATTCCCCCAAGAATAAAATCACTGACTTAAACTCTCATCTAATATTTAAACCCTTTTCACAAGTAAGAATTTTTTTCATATAATATGGAAATGTAGAAATTGATGCTTTTAGATTTATCTTCATGTCTTGGATTTTGCTAATAGTTAGACATAATCTTGCTCTATTATTTAATAGGCCATTTATGTATATGTTTTTCTGTACAGTTGACCCTTAGACAACTCAGGTTTGAACTGTGTGGATCTACTTATACATGGATTTTCTTCTGCCTCTGCCACCCGTGAAGCAGCAAGACCAATTGTTCCTTTTCCATTTTTCTCCTCAGCCTACTCAACATGAAGATGCTGACTATGAAGACCTTTGTGATGATCCACTTCACTAAATGAATAGTAAATATATTTTTCCCTACGATTTTCTTAATAACATTTTATTTTCTCTAGCTTATTTCATTGTAAGAATACAGTATATAATATATATAACATACAAAATATGTGTTAGTTGACTGCGTTACCAGTAAGGCTTCTGGTCAACAGTAGGCTATTAGCAGTTAAGTTTTGGGGGAATCAAAAGTTATGCTCAGAATTTTTAACACCATGGGGTTTGGTGCCCCTAACCCCCATATTGCTCAAGGGTTAACTATATAATAAACAAGCAAGCATACTATAGGAATTTAAGATGTACAGCAAAACTTGATGTGTCCCTCTTTAAAGCACATGTTCACCCTTAAATATATCTATGTGCTAAAAAATACTATGTGCCTTTACACTGTTAATGTGGAGGTAAATTAGCACAGCCATTATGGAAAACAGCATGAAGGTTCCTCAAAAAACTAAACATACACCTACTATATGACTAGTAATTCCAATTCTGGGTATATATCCAAAGTAACTGAAATCAGCGTGTTGAAGGGAGATCTGCACTTCCATGTTCATTGCAGCAGTATTTACAATAACCAAGACACAGATTCAACCTAAGTGTTCATCAGCGCGAATGAATATAGAAAATGTGGTACATATACACAAAGGGATGCTATTCAGCCTTAACAAATAAGGAATTCCTGTCATTTGTGACAATGTGAATGAACCTGGAGAACTTTATGCTAAGCGAAATAAGGCAGGCACAGAACGACAAATACTACATAATCTCACTTATATGTGGAATCTAAAAAGGTTGAACTCAGCTGTAGCAAGTAGAATGGTGGTTACCCAAGGCTAAGGATGAGGCAAGTATTGGGGAGATGTTGGTCAAAGGATACAAAATTTGTTAGATGGGAGGAATAAATTCAGGAGATCTATCATACAACACGGTGATTATAATTAATAACAATGTATTATATACTTAAAAATTGCTACCACAGTAGATTTCAAATGTTCTAACCACAATAAATGATAAATATGTGAGTAATGATTATGTTAATTAGCTTAGTTTAATCACTTTACAATGTATACATATGTCCAAACATTATTTTCTATATCATAAATATTTACAATTTTAATTTGTCGATTAAAAAATACTAACAGCCTTTCCCAGGAATAGCTCAAATTATTCCTTCTCCATTTAAAAATTCCCTGTAAATAGGCAGTCTAATACCAAAAACTTAAACTTCAGCATCGAATAAGAATACTTTAGAGCTCTAAACATTTTAACTATTCTCATTCATGTACAAATGTGTTAATCATAAGAAAAGGAATGCTAGGCCCTGCCCCGCCCCTGCTCCGTGGCTGCTGGTTTTCTCCGCGGGCACCTCGAGGGGTGACCTGGAGATATGGGGAGTACTGGGGGGAACCCTGGCTGGGTGCGGCTCGCGCTCTGCCTGGCTGACTTAGTGCTATCGCTCTACGCGCTGCACGTGAAGGCCGCGCGCGCCCTGGGCCGGGATTACCGCGCTCTCTGCGACATGGGCACCGCCATTAGCTGTCCCGTGCATCATCTCCTCCAGGTAGGGCAGGGGCTTCGGGTTGGTGCAGCACGTGCTGGGACAGGACAGCATCCTCAATCAATACAATAACATATTCCCTTGCATCTTCTACACACTACAGCTGTTAAATTGCCCGTGGACGCGCTGGGCCTTTGTCCTGCTGCTGCTGAGCTCCCTGCTGTCTCCGGCTGATTCTGTCTACCTATCCTGGATTCTGTTCTTCGTGCTCTATGATTTCTGCATCGTTTGCATCACCACCTATGCCATCAACGTGGGCCTGATGTGTCTCAGTTTCCGGAAGGTCCAAGAACCCCAGGGCAAGGCTAAGAGGCACTGAGCCCTCACCCCAAGTCAGGCTGGCCTCATCTGCTTTGCTTTGGCATGTGAGCCTTGCCCAAGGAGGCATATCTGGGTCCCTAGAAGGCCCTAGATGCAGGGCCATCTAGAGTCCCCCCTCCCTCTGCCATACCCACACATGACAATGGACCAAATGTGCCACACGCTCGCTCTTTTTTCCACCCAGTGCCTCTGACTCTGTCCCCAAGGGCTGGTCTCCGAAGCTCTTGCCATTGCCCAAGGAGCGAAGGTTCTGAGCAATACAATTTTTTAAATTAAAAAAAAAAAAAAAAAGGAATGCTAGTCTATAGAGAAAATAGCTAGAGGACACTTTTCCTGATTTATGTGTTTACCTTCAATTGTCCAGTTGTTAATGCACTATAAATAAATTAGTCAGATTTATTAATGTTTTTATTATTCGTGTTCTTGTTACATAACAACACCAGAGAAGCAGCAGACAATTCTTTATCACAAGGAAAAGCTTTTGTTTCCTTAATACATTTTGACTCATTATAGATTACAAAGCCAAAAGGTTTGGTTTCTTAAAATAGTATAACATCGTGCTGGTATAAAATTATATATGAAAACACAATGGGTGATTCAAAGACTTAGAAGAAGGGTTTGGGCAATAAAAATGTCCTATGTGGTCTGAATATATATGCTAATTTTTATTGCTGGTCACCTTATAAAAGGAGTTCTGTCTATAACAGTCAGTGCGTTCACCTATAAAACAAACATTCATTGGATATCAAAGAGAAAATTTATCAAATTCTCCTAATTTTTGTTGTAGATGTCAAACTTTAAGTTTGCAACATGCTCACAATTCAATTATGTGTCTTTCATTTTGTTAATCTGGCCTTAGTGTCTGTATCCATGTGCAGTTTTATTATCAGAAACTTGAACAAATGTATGATACAGTATTTCCAAAAGTAACTCAAACTATTTGTCTTAGGTGTGATGAATGCAAATTAATTCTCCCCTCCCTCAGGGTATTTAAGTATAGACTCTTTTACATAAATCATATATTAATATATACAATGTATCTTTGAAAAGTTCTAACATTGAATATGCAAAATTAAAACAAATCCAGCATTAAAATCAGTTACAAAACTTATACAAGTCACATGTTCAGGGATACTGGAATGAATGAGTTTATAGTCATCATCTCTGAGCTAACATTTCATCTCTCCAAGCCAATGTCTCAAACCAAGAACCTGATGATAAATTTTCCCTCACTGAAGAATAGGGATATCTGTTAGACCTATTTAAAATTTTTTGAATGATGTTCACTAACTCTAGTGATTTTTTCTCTTAAATTGTATCTTGATATTGAATAAATGATACCCTATTGACATTACTCAGTCTGAGAATCCAATATTGTATACAAGTTGTTGTGTGTATCGATGTATTATATATTTTTCCTACTTAGAAAAGGGCCAGCACCTTTCATTATATTTACCAAAAGAGTTTAGGGATATATTGCACAGCATGGTAACTATAGTTAATAATAACGTATTGTATAATTCAAAATTGCTAAAAGAATAGATTTTAAATGTTCTCTCCACAAAAAATGAGAAGTAGGTGAGATGATAGAATATTAATTATCTTGATTTAATTTTTCCACAATATATACATATATCAAAACATCAGAGTGTACCCGTAAATATGTATATTATTCATCATTAAAAATAAAATAGGCTGGGCACGGTGCCTCATGCCTGTAATCCCAGCACTTTGGGAGGCCGAGGTAGGTGGATTACTTGAGATCAGGAGTTCGTGACCAGCCTGACCAAAATGGTGAAACCCTGTCTCTACTAAAAATAGAAAAAAATAGCCAGGAGTATTGGCACACACCTGTATTCCCAGCTACTTGGGAGGCTGAGACAGAAGAATCACTTGAACCTGAGAGGCGGAGGTTACAGTGAACTGAGACTGTGCCACTGCACTCTAGCCTGGGTGACAGAGCAAGAGTCCATCTCAAAAAAAAAAACAAAAATGAAGTGTAGATGTAAGATTATTAAATGTTTGATCTAAATCAAGATTCTGTCTTGATTCAGGTAGAGGGGAATGCATGCTATGAGACCTTCAACAGTGACCACTACAGTTGTACACTGCTGTGTATTTTACTAGATTGATAATATTTAAGATGTTGATGGATCATTATCTACAACAGGTTATGTGATAAAATTGTATTTTACAAGCTGTTCTGTTTTATGGCTCTGAATGTGTATATATATCTCATTTTATTACAGTTCTATATCTTTAAAATAAAAAATTCACTGAATCAAAAAGAAAGGCAATATTTAATTAGAAATAAAATGAGTTCTAAATCTTTCATGAATGTATTCTGTGCAGGGAATTCTTAATGCTTTCCATTATTATGAGAGATAATATCAAGCCCAATTATTTCAAGTCAGGCTAAATCTTTCTACATTGAATGTGCTGAGATAAAAGCTCTTCAGTTTATAGGTGTTTTACCTAGGGCATAGGCCTTGGTCTTTGAAATATTTTCAGTGAAATTTATTTTTCATTATGCATTAAAGTTCTACTAAGTTTCTCACATGGAGCTTCCAATTTGGTCTGTCTTTACAAGGTTGGCTAGCTAAAAATAAAGTTTTGTCAGTTGCTCCTCTGTTTGTTCTCATATATATTTCTCTCCCTTTCCAATTTTGTATCACATGGGGGCTAACCCCAGGAGAAATACTTCTCCCAGATTCGTGGGTCAGTTGATTTTAACTATAGTTTGCCAGTTGGAGACACTATCAGAAGAAAGAAGAACGAAGGGAGAAGAAATGGTATTTTTCACAATCTGCCAATGAGGCATGTTCAACACTAGCTGCTTCTCTATGGCTGCAGTTCCTACAAAAAATGATTCAAAATTCCTCCAGGAGATCCTGGTTACTGGGCTTTGGTAACCGCAACCTCTTTATCTCCTCAACAAAGGTGTTGTAGTAGCTTTTGAGATGGCTAATCTCTGATTTCCCTCATTGTTTCCTGTTTGTTTTATTAGCAATTCCTTCGCCTATATAATCAATTTCCAATATTAAATTTCTTCTGTCTTAAGTATTCTGAAGGATCTCTGATTCCAGACTGGAACATAACTGATACATAATTATGCACAGTTTTATTTGATTTACCTGTACCTAACCCTCTATTATCTGTTTTCTGTTCCCACATTCCCAAATTTGAAATTGCTCTGACAATATTATTAATAGCATATGTATTGCCAAATCCAGTGGGTATATTTTAGTTCTCTGGATACTTCTGCTTTCTTTGACACCGCTGACAACTCTTTTTCATAACTTTTGTATTTCATTTATTTCTACAGTGCTCTTTTTTGTTTCTACCCCCAATCATTTGGCTTAATTCTTTTCATGCTCAATTTTTTAAAACAATGTTATTTTCTCACATCTTATTTTTATGCTCTACTTGGAAGTATTCAGCTAAACTTAAGCTCTTATGTTCCATTTAAATGCTGATGGTATCCGAATTAATTTTTCCATCACTAAATGTATTCTTACATTTCCTAAGCATATAACTAGGCATTTGTTGGATAATTTCAAAAATCTAACTTATTACCTTATACTTTCCAGAAACACAAACACAGAGACACTAAACCAAACAACCAACCACAATACCCCTGCCCCGTTCTGTTGATTATCTTGTTGATGTCACCATAATCCACCTAAACACCCAAGACAAAAATGTGTGGTTCATTACTGACCATTGTGTCTGCAAAGAGTCTTGCCTCATGTTATTCATGCTGTGTGTAGCCACCTCCCACCTGTATAACCAGTAAGATATTGCACAAATGATTTCAAGGTTAGATTGTAAAATGGATTCCAGCTTATGCCTTTTCCTTCTTGAATCATGGGTTGTAGGCAAAGCCAGTTGCCATTTCATAAGAACACTCAAGCAACACTATGGATCTATTCGTTGGCAAGGAAATTAGTTCTCCTGCCATAACCAGCTAGGAACTGAAGCTCTTGCTAACAGCTATGTGAATTAGTTATTTTGGAAGCAGATCCTCCAACTCCAGTCAAGCCAGCTGATATGTGGCACTAGTTGACATCATGATTGCGACCATATGAGAAGATTCAGGCCAAAGCCACCCAGGTAAGCTACTCTAGAATCCAGACCTACAGAAACTGTACGGGATAATAAATGTTTATTGCTGTTTCATAGCTGCTAAGTTTTGGGTAATTTATTAGGATAACCAATAGAACTACTCTGTTTCTCTTATTCTTTACTAATCATCAAGTTCTATCAATATTATTGCCCAAATATTTCTGAAATCTACTCTTTCATCTTCAAACACTACTGTTCTAGTCATTATCAACTCTAGCTTGAATTATTTCAATGGCCCTCAAAATGATCTCTCGTTCCAGTGTGGTGTTTTGCAAATCCATCCTGCTATTCCACTCTCAAAGTGATTTATGTGGAATTCAAATTAACCAGGCTTCTTTTATACTTAAAAACATTCGGTGTTTTTTTTTTTTTTCTTCAAAAGATAAAAGGAAAGTACTTGCCATGATGTAAAAAGTCTTAGGTAATCAGAAACGCTTTTTGTTTTTTTCACTCCAACTTTATTTCTTGCAACTTTTCAGCACTTATTTTTGTGTGCTGAAATACTGAACTGCTTTAGACCTTGATAACCAGCAGCTTCATATCTGTGTGTCACTTCTCCTAAATTTCCTTTTTTTAGAAGCGCCCTGTCTTTTTCCTGATTAATTCATTATCAACTTTTGAGACCTAACTCAAAAATTATTTCCTCCAGGTAGACTTCCATAACTCCTGGAAGTCAGATTAACTATTCTCCTTTTGTTAACCTAAAGTACCATTCACATTCTTCTAACATAATACGTACTTTATCATAATAAAATTCCTTAAGCAATGGATTTCTCCACTACTATGTGTGAAAGATCAAAGAGTCATATTGTGTTTGAATAGAAATCTACTGGTTGCGTGCTTTATTTAGTTGTAGTTTGCAAGTCTACAAATGGAACAGACAGACCTAGGAGACTGAGGTTTTCTAAACAATAGAATTTATATATATATATATGAGAGAGGGAGAGATGATAGACTTATATGTAACAGATAGAGATAAAGATAGTGCAGATCAAATGAATACAAGGCCAGTGGGTTATTTTATATACTAAGTGAGCAATTTACATTTCTGAGAGAAACATTTAATAACATAAGTAAGTAAAATATATTTATTGTAACAACCCTGATTTGCCAGATTGCATTAATAAACTGTTACATTTAA